AAAATCTAACGGAGCAGAAATATTTAGAATGATGAAATCTACCTATTGTCTGTTGCATCAAATCTTTCAGACGACTTCTTTAAGGGGTTATTGCCCTTAAATGGCGAATTTTACCATTTTTGTTTTTCATTTTTGCTTATTATCTTGAAAGTTATTGGAAAGCAGCAAGACAAGATCTACAAATAAGTTAACATAGTTGAAATCGTCAAACAACTCCTTATTGGAGTTATTACCCTTTAATGACATATTTTTGCATTTTTGCCTATTATCGGTATAATGGCCGAAATTGTCAGTTTACACTCTATTAGAGTTTTTGCCTGTTAATGACGATTTTTACCCGTTTTTAGTGTTCTTCCTCTTATCTGGAAAACTATAATAGATAATTCAACACTTTAAAAGTGATCAGCAAGACACGATTTACAAATAAGTCAAAATTTTTACGATGTTTTAGTAGACTCATAAGAATGATTGCTCTTACTTGACCATATTTATACCCTTATTTGTGTGTTTGGCAAAAACCAAAGAAGATAGAGGGACACTGTAAACAGAAAAAAAAAAATGATCAGCAATACAAGATTAAAATAAAATAGAGATTTTTGTCATGAATTCTGTTAAAGTCCACAATATTGTTGAAGATTTTATTGTGTGTTTTTTCATGTTGTAATGTTACACTACTGCTTCAGGTTAGGGTGAAGGTTGGCGCCTGTTAAAACGTTTGAACCCGCTGTATTTGTTTGCACCTGTCCTATGTCAGGAACCTGTTTAAATGGTTGTCGTTTGTTGATGTGGTTCTTAAGTGTTTCTCGTTTCTCGTTTTTTATATAAATAAGACCGTTGGTTTTCCTGTTTAACTTGTTTTACACTAGTCATTTTGGGGCCCTTTATAGCTTGCTGTTCGGTGTGAGCCAAGGCTCCGTGTTGAAGGCCGTACTTTGACCTATAATGGTTTACTTTTTACACATTGTGACTGGGATGGAGAGTTGTCTCATTGGCTTCTTATTTCTAAAGACCTCTAGTAGGTGAGCGACGCAGCCTCTTTAGAGACTCTAGTTTGTTTACCTTTAAATAAATGTATTGTTTTTCAGACAAAAGATGAGGTATTCATAATTTTAAGAAAAGAATCAGCTGTAGATAAATTAGAAGTACAAATAACGGACTTTGCATTAGAAAAAAAGATTGAAGATATCCGACAAATCAGTGCTTCAACCTTTGCGTTTAACCCTTCAGGTAATTAAAGACTGATTTTCAGTACATCTTTTTTGCGAAAACTTTACTTGATAAATTGACATTAAAATAATCATTTATTCAGACTTTTTGTCTAAAGTTTGGAATGTCAAAGCTTTACTGGAAGATATATATTTGAGAAGGTAAAAAGGCGGTTTTCTAAAGCGATATGTTGAAATCAATTTTGCAGCCTATCCACCAGATCAAAAGGAATTGATGAATCTTTGTAAAAGGTTTCCCAACATTGTATGATTTATAAAAAGGTTTTAGAGTTTGGCTTGTATTTCAATAGAGGAGAAATTTGCCTTGATTTGTGCATGGGTAAACCACGGTTTGCTCAAATTCAAAGATTGCGCTTGCATTAAAGCAATTAATTAATATTCTTTATTTACAATTTCAAAAGATGCAATCATATGCATTGCTAAGTATAAATTCTCCTTTGGCATTGTTGTATTAACAATATCGATCAAAATATAATGACAAATAAGGTATTCAAAATGTCGATGTTATTTAGGTCTAGCTCCTGGAAGGAAAAAAGTAGAAGTTTTTTTGAATGGTAAAACTGCAGGACGGAGTTACTTAGATATAAAACCCAAAATTGAGATGCTAAATCGTCTTCTACACGATGCTGTCAATCCTATTGAACTTTTATGCCAAACATTAAATATCGAAACAAGATCACGAGAATGTGTTGACCTTGAACTCAACGATATATTTACAAATGGTGGCTCGAATCCACTGTCTGAATATGCTGGTGAAAACTTCGATTATACTTCAGGTTTGTTGATATAGTGGATAAACAAAACATTTTTATTATTAACAGATTGTTCAAAACATATAATGTTATCGTAGTAAGACAGTTACTTATTAAACTAAAAAAGAGGCGGAAGATTACAAGAGGACATTCAAAATTCATGATGCGAAGACAAACTGACAAAGCCATGGCAAAAAACGAAAAACGACAAAAGACAAATCTGTTCACAAAACACTACATAGAAAACTAAATACTGAGAAACACGAACCCCGCAAAAAACTGGAAGTGATCTAAGGTGCTCCAGAAGAATAATCAGATCCCGTTCCACATCTGGCACCCGGCATATGTCATTAACTAATGGCAAATATCAGATACATATATTTAGTGTTATGGTACGTTTTATGGCACGCCTTATTTATTTTTATGCAATGTTCAAAACATCTCATAATCTTTATAAGATGGTATACGATGCCATCTCCTTTTTATTAGATATTTTATCAACTTAATCCTATATCTCATATAATTCACATTGAATAAGATAGATAATTAAATATATGAGATATCTTATGTTATTAATTAGCTATCATATCTAATGTGAATTATGTGAGATATATGATTAAGTTAATTATTGTTACCGGCCGCAAAAAGGAGCAGGGACATAAAAATCAGAATTTAGTGTTGTCATGGCCGAATAAAGTCCAGTTAAAAAAAGTCAAGGTCCACTATCTGTCCGATTAGTTTTTCAATGCAGATCATTCTATAAAACTAAATGATGCAACCTGTTTTTGTTTGTCGCTTCTGAATCTACAAGATTAAATTATATGACTCTTGTGTATAGAGTAGTTTTTTTATCCTTACCTTTTTATTATTGAGTTTGAAGTATCTGAATACAATGATGAGAAGATGTGGTTTGATTGCCTATGAGATAACTTTCTACTCTACTCAATTCTAAAAGACGTGGATGTAAGCAACTATAGGTCGCTGTACGGCTTTCAACAATTAGCAAATCCCATACCGTATAATGATCTTAAAAGGCCCCTGCATAACAAATAGTAAAACAATTCAAATGGGAAAACAATCTCCCTAATTTAAGTACAAAACAATAAACGAAAAACAAATATAATATGGATAGACAGCGACAACTATTGAATTACGGGCGTCTCACTTGGAACAAGCACATACAGAATGTGGCGGGTTAAACACGTTTGCGAAATCTTTACTAGCCCATAAACCTCGGACAGTGTCAGCACAACATAAAAACAAACTGAAAAAATCAGTCGAGAAAGGCTTGACTCAAGTGATGCACGAAAGTTACAAAGTATTGTTTTCATTAACTAGTGCTGGGTCGATACCACTGCTGGGTCGATACAACTGCTGGTAGACTGTAAGTTACCAAGGGTATTATCAGCTCAATAGTCAGCGCTTCTGTACTTATATGATTTATAACAAACTTTTCTTGAAATCTCCGTTGATAAGTCAAGAAATTGTTAAAAAAAACTAAGTTTTTAACTCCCCAGACCTCAAATGAATTTGACGAATCTTTAACCCCTTTTGTCATAAAGCTCATTACTTATAAGGTTATATATACATCTTTGGCTTTAAAATGTTTTGGTTTGAGCATTCGAGATAAAGGATTTTCCAGAAAAGCGCTTTAATTTCATAAAAAAAACAAACACCAAGAAGACTAAGAACTCAAAGTACCGATCTAAAAATGCTTGCAGTTACTTAAGCTTGTTTAAAGACTATTCTAGAAAAGAACATGATTTTCGAATGACTTTTCCATTATCCCATTTATGTCAACACTTCAGTTTCTCATATAAGCACATGGCCATTTGGCGAAAATTGTGAAGCTGAAAAAAAACCCACCAAAACAACATCGCATCATAGCGGCTTTTAATGACACACGATTAAACAAATATCATAGCAAAAATGCAATCAACAACACACCACAGCGTTTTTAAATGAAATGTGATTGCTCTTAGATTAATACGAAAGAGTCTATGACAAAAAAACGTGATGAAAATAGTTTCTTACTTTTCTTAACATTAGTAATTACTACACGTACATGTTCTTTATCAGTTGACAATAATAAACATTACTTGATATCCTTTGAAGTTTTATTGTATACTTATACAGATATACATAAACAGAATGAATTACCAACATTGCTTCATTTTGCTGCTAGTTATGGTTTAGAACAATTATGTACTACATTATTAACTTTTCCTGGTGGAAGACACGCATTGAAAATAAAAAACAAAGACGGAAAAACACCATACAAGTTGGCAATTGCTGGTGAATTTACACATCTTGCGGACAATATCCTTGTAAGTAAAGAATTACTCATGGCACTTATTTAGTAAGTTAACTCATAAATCAACCAGTGTATCTGAAAAGCATAAAAGACTGAAAATAAAGAAAAGATAACTGCATTTTTTTTGTTTCTGTGTGATATTTGAGGTACACTTGTTGAGTTTTAATAAAGCTTTTACAATTTGTTGAACGTAAATAAAGGTAAGAACCCTTCGATTTTAGGTCTGTTGGTCAAAATTTGAGGTCATAGCTGATAAGGATATCTGTACATAGTATGAAATTCTTCAAATTGTTGTTTTTCAATTTTTCTTGATAGTTTTTATTTGGCATGTGCATCCAGACCTGGCACGTTAGTCAAAGAAAGGGGGACTCCTGCCCTATTCGTTTTAAGTAAATTCCCTAAAAGGGTTTTTATGTGTATTGGGACTCAGGAAAAAATATTAGTAGCCATTTTGGTTTCTAGAAACCTGAATTTTTATACTTCCTTGAGCATATAGTCCTTGCTTAGTTGTACAGTGTTTGAATAATAACTCGAGTATCCCATTATTAAACATTTATGTAGGCTAAAAATAGCAATGGTAGTACATAGTTTATTTGTTTTTCCAAGCATACCAGAATCCTTGAAATAATAATATTTCTCAAAACATATGTACAGTGCGAGATTATTAGTTGGCAGTACCACCTTTACAATTATTGTTGATACTTTCAGCTGGAATATGATGGCAAAGAAGATAATGACAACACATCTGAAGATGTAGAGGGTAAGTGATTTCTTTATAGAATAATGTTGGGTTAAGGATGTTCGCTACTCTTGGTTTGAACTATTTGTCAGATCTTCGGAATCCTTTAGTTTTTCTTTTCATTTCATAATTTTATTACATATAGTTAAAAAAGCCATTTTTGAAAATGTTATAAAATCCTTGTTATTTTTCATTGCTTTTAAAAGAAAAAAGGTAGCAATGTTAAATGTATGAAAATCTAGAGAGAATCATTTCCCGCCAAATTTTCAATTGATTATTTCTCAAAAACAAGGACATGGACCTGTCATTTTTACTGCTTTTGAAGTTCCTTTATTCATATACTATCAATTTAGTACAGTCTTTTAAAAAGCTTGAAATTCTGAAAATATACATTATTTGAAATAAAGTATGAAACCGAAGAACATTCTTTAATTATAAAAATGCTTCATTTGACATTTTATTCCAAGAAGACGACAGTGGCTTAATACCTAATTCGAACTGTAATGTAATTATTCCTTTTATTAAGCACTTTGAGGGCGCAGATAACAATTGTGCTTAGCTCCGCCTTTCATGTGGACATACAAATACAATTGATGGACAGGTCCAACGCAGGCATTTAAGAACAACTGCAATGACTATCAAGCAAGGCTACGCTTTTGCCAAAATATTTAACTTTACGACAAACTAAGAATTTAAATCACAATAGACCATTCTTAGTATGATAATATAAAAAATGATACTTGTAATTATGGATAGTCACCGGAGATGCAATAGCATATCACTTCATTTAATCATCTTTATTCTCCATAACGTGTACATTTTTATTTGGTTCTTCTTTTTTCAAACTTACTTTATAGACTCCGAATAAGGATGTACTTAGATCAGGTTTAGGAATTTATGTCAGATGTTCGGGCTCCTTTGTTTTTCCCTACAATACAGGGTAAAATATTTTGCCCCATAATACCCATTTTTCTTTTCACATAAGACTTCAATAGCTCATAAAATGTAATTTACCAAAATTAAAGCAGATTCTAGATTTCTTTTCTTTCGATTTGAGACCCAAATAATACCAATACAAATATAAGGATAAAGTCCGAGCCAGCCTTTTCGCGCCACTTTTAAAAAATCAAATATCTCGAAAAAGAGCTCCATAACTTATCAATAGTTGTAGCTTATTTTGTTCCTTAAATAATGCTCTTTCGACTTATAGTATCAATTTTAAATTCTAGATTTTTGAAATTTCACCTAAGTACATCATTAAGTCTGGTCTCATTAACATGAAGCGATTCATGGTTAGTTATTGGTTTGCCTTTATCCGGATTTTCAAAATAATTATCCCAATTCAAATGAAATCTATGTTGGTGTTGAGATATACAAATGAACTGAGGTAGTTTTGTATAAATGACATCACAGTAAAAAGAAGTTATGACACGATGAAAAAACTTCTTTCAAGAGTTTTCGTAAAAAAAAATTAGAATTTTGTCAATTTTCATAATCATTTGCTTGATAAAAAAGATTTAAACCTTTTTTTGTATACACCTAGCAGATATAGTGCGTTGACAAAAGGGCAAAAATTCATCTAGATTTTAAGTTTAATTTCCCCCCCAAAAAAAAAACACATGACAGATACTGGTATTATATTTAACAAACAGGTGTCTCCTATATTTTCGATTCTATCGTAAGAAATCCGCAAGGTCACATTTCCCCCAAAAATAGATTTTATGAAAATTTATTTTTGTAATCTCGCAATCCATCTTTTTCAAAATGTTTATTTGAAGTTAGATGCCAACATTTCTTCGAAAGATTTTTGTTCTTGCAGTAAGTATCTTTAAAAATGTTCAGTTCATATATCATTTGGCATCTAATCTTTATAATTTTATTTGTTTTATTATAGTTTGAAAAGATTATCAACCAAAGTAATTTTCAATTTGAATTATGTTTGCTAGATAGGTTTCCAGTTAAATGTTCATTATATAATGTATATGTTAGAAAACAGTTTGCCTATACATGATATCGTATTGTATAAAAGCAAAGTATCTGAAGGACATTTCAAGTAAAATTACATTAACGGTACTAACTTCTACTCACCAGATGCGTATATCGACAATAAATGTCTCTTCAGTGATGCTCGAGGCCGAAACTTTGCACTGATACGTTCAGTCTATTGAATATTTACTCCATTAAGCTTCACTGTTTTTTAAGTGCGACCTCTTTGACAGATATTACGTAAAACCTTCTATCAAGGTGGTTGAATGGGACAGAAGATTAACTTTTACATCGGAGGTATGCAAATTTCTAAGTAATTGAAGGTTATTTCCTAATGTTTTTTTTTATCTGGCAACGAAAATAAACAAGCATTGATGTTACAACCAAACTAAACATAATGCACTACTATTATTAGGTATCAAATAAATAACCCACTCTACCTGGAAGTTTTATCTATCCATAAATCGCATTTGTGCAAAAGGTGCAAATAACTGTCCAACTTTTAAGGAAACGGTAATATTTCTTCCTCCATAGGCGTCAATACTAATATTTTCTAAATTTCCAATTTTCATTATAAAAACCTGGACAAAGCAGTTATGTGTGAAATTAATACTTTATCATTCGGTTCTATAATTTGAAGTCATTTGGTGACTTCGAACGGAGCTAGATTTATGTAGTATTCATTCATGGCCACCGTATTTTACATCAAATTTATGAAAACTCATAAAATCTCTAGGAAATATTTTAATGTGTTTCAAAATTTATTATTGTAAGAATACACACAAGTTATTCGTAAATAAATAGAAAAATATATTTTACCCTTACATCCAATCACAGCGCTCTAAAGTTGTCTTCCTTCACCTTCCTTGAGTACACAAAAGGCCAACCTAAAGCCGGGAAAATGTAATAATCCTTTTCCTTTTACAGTACACATTAACGGACGGATACGCGTTTGATTTTGCAGCTATCACCGCCACGCCTAAAGACAGTTTGGATACCGTCACTATTCAAGAAAGAACATACTAAAATCTCTTGACACGGACGTTCTAGTTCTTTGGTTCTACTTTTTCATCCCTAAAAAGATGAGATGATATATAGTTTTTAAAAACAAACATGCGCCATATACGCAAGACGCTAGGAACCTGTGCATGAACAATGCAATATTTTGCACCTTTAATCAGTAAATGATTGCCGATAACGTTCTGCAATTGCATGCATGATGTGGCTCCACACCGGGAATGTAGCGAGACGGTTTTCAAATGTCTTAAATAGACACCAGATTGAAACTGTTATTAGTGAATCTCTTTTAAAAAGTGGCAATAGCGTAGACAGTGATCTGAATAAATTGTTTTAAAACTATAAAATGATTATGGTAATTAACACATTTTGAAAAGGCTTTTACAATTTGGTGGCGTCTTTTACAATGTTTCATAACTTTATTCCATATGAGTTATCATCATGTGGGTAGCTGGACTTTGCAATTTTCAATTGCGGATTTTACCTTTACGACATATGTCTAAAAGGTAAAAAGGAGAAGAAGGGGGAGGGGGTGTAGGCAAAACTTGTTTAATCCCCATTACCACAAAATTGTTGCTGAAATTTTGTTTGCTTTTGATTTGAAATAATTGACTGTGAATGGAATAAGATAATGATGATGTTAAACCATCTTTATTGAAAATATGTAATTGTGTAAAGATTCTTGCACAAATCAATTGAAAGCAATGTTTGATAGTTGTGGATAGTAAAGTGTATATATACTGCTACTATTTGAATTTTTAGGCTCGACTATTTTATTTATTACTTGGGAGTGTACATCATTTTTTTCATCTTCCTATTGTAAACTCCAGTTTCTGCAAACCGGATGTCTTATGCAAATTGCACAAACCAATCGCAATATAAATTTAAGCACTCAGTTTGCTTTATAATCTGGATGCAATAATTTTTATCTATCATATCTTCATATTTTGTTTCCTAGATGCCTTCAATTATTCTTATTCTCGTTATTAAAGTTTTCTGTACTCATGGGTGATGTTGTATAGATAAATTTAAATTCAAATTTCCATGTGAAGTGAAACCCTGTGGCATGCAACTTGTAAGAAGGTTTCGTATATTTTTCTTGAGAGTAACACACCAGCTTCATTGGGACCTCTTATATACTGACAATTATTTTGGTCTCATAAAACATCTCAAATTTTAAGGATTTCCTGAAGTTACTTAAATCAATTCAAATATTCTACAGGAGAACTTGGTTTTGAAGAATATCTTATTTTCAGAAGTTTTATGAATACCTGAACATACTCTCAAAAGAACCAATTTATGTAAAAAGATATGTAGAAAACAGTTTGCCTATACATGATATCGTATTGTATAAAAGCAAAGTAACAGACGGACATTTCAAGTAAAATTACATTAACGGTACTAACTTCTACTCACCAGATGCGTATATCGACAATAAATGACTCTTCAGTGATGCTCGAGGCCGAAACTTTGCACTGATACGTTCAGTCTATTGAATATTTACTCCATTAAGCTTCGCTGTTTTTTAAGTGCGACCTCTTTGACAGATATTACGTAAGACCTTCTATCAAGGTGGTTGAATGGGACAGAAGATTAACTTTTACATCGAAGGTATGCAAGTTTCTAAGTAATTGAAGGTTATTTCCTAATGTTTTTTTTATCTGGCAACGAAAATAAACAAGCATTGATATTACAACCAAACTAAACAAATGCACTACTATTATTAGGTATCAAATAAATAACCCACTCTACCTGGAAGTTTTACCTATCCATAAATCGCATTTGTGCAAAAGGTGTAAATAACTGTCCAACTTTTAAGGAAACGGTAATATTTCTTCCTCCATAGGGTCAATACTAATATTTTCTAAATTTCCAATTTTCATTATAAAAACCTGGACAAAGCAGTTATGTGTGAAATTAATACTTTATCATTCGGTTCTATAATTTGAAGTCATTTGGTGACTTCGAACGGAGCTAGATTTATATAGTATTCATTCATGGCCACCGTATTTTACATC